TCACATCCTTAGTGGATTCTCCCCGACTCCTTCCACACAGGTTAACGTGTCGAGCAGGGCTCCGACTTCAACATCGGAAAAGTCTCACGTCCTTGGTTAACGTCGCTAGAATGTCTCAATAGACTTCGTATTCTGACGGTTCTCCATAAGTTAAACATTCTTCCCGGATTTTAATTTCGCTCTCTGCGCTAAACTTTTGCCTGCAGGACTTTTCGACGGACCTATTACACGACGCCAAAAATTCTCCTTTCATCGGACTAAATACCCGTCGTCGGACTCTGGCTCGTGCGACGACTTTTCGTCGTCTTACTACCCGACAATATTCTATCTCGATCGTCAGTGACTTCTGCTCGTCAGCGACTTTCTACTCGACGTCGAACTTCTGCTCGTCAGCGGCTCTACTCAAAAGTCGAACTTTCTGCTCGTCAGCGGACTTACTTCAACGTCGGACTTCCTCTTGTTAGCGGACTTCTACCGTCGTCGATACTTCTGCTCGCAACAGACCTTCGATCGCTCTTCTACTTGACGCTGCAGCCTCTACCACTACGGAGCTTCTACTCGACCTCTAGACTTCTGCTCGTTAGCGACATTCTTACTCGTCGTCAGACTTCTGCTCGTCGACGAACTTTCGTCAGTCATCTACTCCGACTGCGGACTCTGTCTGCCGTCAGACTACTAACCGTCGTCGGACTTCTGCCCGTCGACGAACTTTCATCGTACTTCTGCCCGAGGTCGTACTTCTATACAACGTCGGACTTCTCCTTGTCGTCGAACTTCTGCTCATCAGCGGACTTCTACTCATCGTCGGACTTCTGCCTGTCGACGAAACTTTCATCGGATTCTGCTCGAGGCCCGTACTTCTACATGAGTCGGACTTCAACCCTTGTCGTCTGAACTTCTGCTCGTGCAGCGGACTTCTACTCATCTGAAATTCCTTGCCGTCGACGAGTCCTTTATTGATCTTTCTACCCGACTGCGCCTCTACACCGACTTTGTACATTCTACAGGATTGTCGGACTTTCTACAGTTAATAGACTTTCGTTCGGTACTCTACCGACGCGTATGATACCCGTGTTGAAAATTCATGCCTGTATCATACTTCCCCCGATGCTGGAAGTTTGCCCGTCATTCCAGACCTCGTCTACTTACAACGGTCTATCTGACTCATTGCCAACCACCAAACATCGGAACTCCACAAGATATCTCGAAGAAAGAGGGGTAAGGGAAAATCTCCGGACTTCTTGCCAAGAGAGGGGTCGAAAAATCAAGGGAATGCTCAATGGTAAGGACATGGGAGAAGAGAAGCGGGGGAAAATCTCCGGAATTTCCTTGCGCAAGTAGAGGGGCCTCGAAAAAATCGAGGGATAGGCCTCATGGTAAGGACACGAGAGAGAAGAGAAGGAGGGAAATCTCCGCACTTCCTTGCCAAGAAGAGGGGCCTCGAAAAATCGAGGGAAGGCCCAATAGAAAGGACAGAGGAGAAGAGAGAGGGGAATCTCGAACTTCCTTGCCAAGAGAGGGGGCCTCGAGAAAACGTAGGGAAGGTCCTCAATAGAAAGGATAGAGGGAGAAGAGAAGAAGGGAATCTCCGGACTTTCTTGCCAAGAGAGGGCCTCGGATAAACCGAGGGAAGGCCTCAATAGTGAAGGACAGAGGGAGAAGAGAAAAAGTAAAAATTCCGGACTTCCTTGCCAGAGAGGGCTCGAACCACCTGAGGGAAGGACCTCATAGCAGGACAGAGGGAGAAGAGAAGAGAAGAAGAGAAGTTGCAAGTTTTCCCTAAAGGCCTTCAGGGTTCCTATTATAGGTTTTTGGAGGGAAAGAATGAGGAAGTTCTAGAGTTCTCTAGAAATTTTTAAATTTTTTTCAAATTTTTCTGAATTTTTCAGAATTTTTTTCAGGAATTTTTTCAGAATTTTCTGGCCCACACGCTCAATTTAAAAAAAAAAAACTCAAAATTTGGAATTCTCGGCCAGCAACTGCCGGCGCAAACCTGCGCGCCAGGCAGGGGCGCGGCTGTTCGCGCGGCGCGCTCGCCGGCGCCGCCGGCATGCTGGCAGGGCGGCCGGCCAGGCCGGTTCCGGCAGTTCGGCCGTCAAAACCTTACCCGGGTACCGACTTTTTGCCAGGGACAGTCCGATTCGGACGTTTTTTGGGTCCCAGGACACGTTTCTCGACATTCCGGACTCAATTTCTGACAATTCGGGACTCAAACGGCGGCCTCTACAATCAATTTGTTGCAAATGATTCAACTTTTGGAACGCAATTTTTTGCGATTCGGTCCAAGGTAAAATTTTTGGGAACACATTATTTTCGGACCTTCTGGAGCTTCGATCGTCCGAAATAGGGGGGCAAACTGATACGGTATCCAAAAATTAGCTTGATCGGGCACGAAATCTCGAAGCCAAAAGCTAGTTGAAAACTTCAAAAATTAATTCAGTAAGGAGCAACCGAACTCGATTTCCAGCGAGCTTACAGTCAAACTGAGCGTTCTCGAAATACCAACCCAATCGACAAAACCAAGGATCAACACCATCCGAGCTTTAAATGAGTCTGATCAAAGGCTCAAAGCGCTGTTGGAAGGTTTCAAACTGCAATTTGAGTTACCAAGCGGACTCCAATTTTTGACGAGCGTTATATTCGAATCGAGAAGGGCTCTGACGAGACGAAGTCCAATCGAGCCCAAGTCACAGAATATCCGCATCTACATAGGCCTTCAATGTCCAATGAACGGTACATGTCGTAGGATTCATATCGTTCCGTCATTGGACACTCCCTTTCGCCTCTGATCTCAATGCTTTTTAACGGGCCATGCACTCCGAAAATTATAAATAGAGCCTCATTCTTCACAAGAGAGGATCCTAAGCAAGAGAGAGAAAGAAGAGAAAGAGAAGGACAGGGATTCTCCTCGACAACCGCCGGACCACGCGACCACCGCAGAACGTCGCCGGACCACCGCGACCCCGTCGCGAATCTCGTCGGACCACAGCCGGACCACCGCAGGAACTCGCCGACCACCCAACAAAACTTTCGCCGGACACGCTTAAGCCCGCGTTCATTCCCCGACGTCCTGCCAATGCCGACGTCTTGTTAAGGGCCGACTGCAGTCCCTACATCTCTGCCAAAGACCCGACTCTTGTGTCAAGTGCCCTGACACTCAGTCCCTACTTACGTGCCAAGAGACGTCGACGTCTTGTTTCAAGGCCGAAGGTTAAGTCCGACGTCTGCTGAAAGAGCCCGACGTCCTGCATGAAGACCTGACGTCCTGCTTAAGATCCGACGTCTTACCAACGGCCAGACGATCAACATCTGATCTGTTCCAAGTGAACTGGGAACTACACCTGGACTCTTATCTCCTTACGCCTACGGTCCTTCCTACCACTGTGCCTAAAATACGGTTCTCGCGACCTCATCACCAGACTACGGTCTCCGGCCCGACTACGGTCTCTGCGACTACGGTCTTCGGCCACACGGTCTCCGGCCACTACCGTCCTCCTGCCGACTTAGGTCTCCGGCCGACTATTCGGGTCTCCGGACCGACTACGTGTCTCCCCAACTACGGTCTCCTGCCGACTACCGTTCTTTACAAGGCCTTGTCGCCTACTATGGTCCTTCCGACCCTCATCAACAGACAACGGTTTTCTACGCACCCAGGGTCTCTGCCGACCTCCGGTCTCCTGCCGACCACGGTCCTTCAGGCAAAAAACCTGTATATGTAACTCTTACTCATGTATGCAATCTATATGATGTACATTCTGCTACATCAATCCAGAGGGCCTTCTGCCTAGGAAGGTTCATTTTGTTAATCGACTACAAATACTAGTGGATTCATTCAAAACCGGGCCAAGCCCGTGGTTTTCTCCCCCTTTTCAGGGTTTCCACGTAAAAACTTTGGGTCTATGAACGCTACACCCTCTTCACTTATTGCTGATGTGTGCTGCGATCTTCCGTACAACGCTATAGACGTTAAACTATATATTTCTCTACCGCCGCGAATATCCGGACGCACAATTTGTTTGTTTTCTTTTGAATTTGTTCTCTTATATAACTTCACTTCTTATTGATATCTTTAATATTTTGCTTGCTAGAATAGTTTAAAGATTTTATCTCTATAAGTCGTTATTACCTCATCAACAAGAGATATTTGGTTAGAATACTTTTATTTTTCATATATTTTTTTTCTTTTTTCTCTATATATTTATGGATTTACTTGTTAAGTTGATGTCCATATTTATTTGAATTTCAATCATAAATTAAATAAACAAATCTAGCGTCTTCATCTTAATAAAGTACTAGTACTCATATGTTGCTCAAGGTTTTTTTTCAATTATCATTTAATCTCTTGTGTGACCAATGGCCTCTTGTGCTGCAGCTGCTCAACTTAAGCTTAGTTGGGAATACAGTTTCTTGACCGCTTTGTTAAAATAATTTTTTAGTAATAAAATGATTAAAATTTTTATCTAAAAGCGTGATTAAGAAGTAAGTAAGAAAATGTTCCAAACAAAACCTAAGACTTCATTTGAAAAAGCTTTCTAATGCTTTTCTAACTCTAGCTTCTTAGTACAAGATATTTCTTCTACAGAAAACTACTGCTTAAAACCAGTTAAAAAAACTAGTCACGAAATCAAAGCCTTAGATGAATCCACTCAAAAGATTCGTATATTAAAATTTCCATCGGATTCGTTTGAATAATTTTCTTACTACTCTCGTAAAATACATTTCAGTACACAGTTTTGTTTCACTCATTGTTGATTATTTCAACTTTTAACTTTTTTTCTTCAATTTAAGCTTTAATTTATTATCTGTGAAAAGTTTAATAAATTTTTTGCGAGGTCTTTGTTATTTTCTAATTTTAAAAAAAAAAAATTGACTTGAATTATTTATCTAATTTCAAATATTATAATTTAACATTGATTGCTTAAACTATAATATTATAACGTTTAATAAATAATTAAATCAAAATTTAATTTAATATAATTTAAATTTTATATACTCATAAACTTTATTTTAATTATAAATCACATAAATTATTTTATAAATTTATCCTTATAAATATTTATAAATAAATTATAATTAATAATTTTAATTACTTATATTTCAAAAATTTATTTATTTACCAATGATTAAAATAATAATAATAAAAAAAATGTTTAATAGATATGGATAAAAAAAAATCAGAACCATGAAGTATTTACAGTAAAGCTTCCTGCCAGCAGGGCGTCTGATTTACCATGCAACATGACGTGTCAAAACCTGACTGGTCGGCACACGTGTCCCCTTCTATTTTATTACTTGGCTAGCTCTCGAGGCTGCATTGGTGAGTTCTGCGAGGAAACGAAGCGGAAGAAAACGAAACCCCTAAGAAGAAATGCGGACGGCTGTCGTCGCTTTCCTCCTATTGCTCGGCTGTTTCGGCTTCCCGGCCGGCGCCCTCTACTCTGCCTCTTCCCCCGTGCTCCAATTGAATCCTTCCAACTTCAAATCCAAGGTCTTCTTCTCTCTCTCTCTCGCCCTCTCTTTATCTCTCTTTAGTGGTCGATGCTCCGCTGATTCCCTTTAGCTCGTGCATATACCAGGTTTTGAACTCAAATGGTATTGTTTTGGTGGAGTTCTTCGCGCCGTGGTGCGGGCACTGCCAGGCCTTGACGCCCATATGGGAAAAGGCCGCCACCGTACTAAAAGGCGTTGCCACCGTTGCTGCGCTGGATGCGGATGCCCACAAATCTCTTGCCCAGGTTCTTCTTCAATCTAAAAAGCTTTGTGGTTTTCATTGTTTCGCTACAGAAAGTATTGGATTTTCTCTAGCCGTTGAGTCGGTAATCTGGTGCTTGTTGGTCCATTTTCTTAACAGTCAGATGCGGGACATCATTAAATCATGTTTAATTTGTTCGATCGCTTGGCACAACTAGATTTTTTTTCCTTTTCTGGTACCTGTTTTCTGTTTGATTATTAAAAATCTGAACCACTGAGCTACTGCTGTACTGGTGAGAGAAAGCTTCAAGAAGAGGAAAGAAGAGAGGAGGAAACCGAAACAGGCTAACACAGAGAAAGAGAAAGCATTGTATTTCATCTCTAAAACGTATTACAGTGGTTGCTTATATAGACTAAGTAATGGCAGAAAAAGTAAAATAATATAAGAGTCTGTTCATTATTGCTAATATCCTCCCGCAAATTAAGCATTCAAGGGTCGAATGCTTAATTTGGTGTGTAGTTCATTAAACCTAGTGATGGAAAACGGTTTGGTCAATATGTCGGCAATATGATCGTTGGAGGAGATATGAACAAGCTGAATAGCATTTGAACTGATATGCTGTCGTATGAAGTGATAGTCGATCTCGATGTGTTTCGTCCTTGCATGGAACACAGGATTTTTGGCAATGGCTAGTGCCGAAGTGTTGTCACAATGAATTATTGTTGGAGATGACTGTGGTATGTGAAGGTCCTCGGCCAAACGACGGAGCTAGATCACTTCAAAAATTGCAGCTGTGAGGGAGCGATACTCTGCCTCGGTGGACGACTTGGCAACAGTGACTTGCTTCTTGATGGTCCAGGAAATGAGGTTGGGACCTAGGAATGTGCAGTAGCCAGATATAGACTTCCGGTCGAAAGCATCGGAGGCCCAATCGGCATCCGTATAGGATCGCAGCTCAAGGGGGCTGGTGGTGATCGGGAGACCATAGGTGACGGTGCCTTTGATGTAGCGTAATAGCCGCTTGAGTGCTTTGAAGTCTTGATCGGTAGGATCTTGCATGCGTTGGCAGACGACATTAGTGGCAAAAGCAATGTCCGGTCTCGTTATGGTGAGGTATTGTAAGGACCTGGCGAGCTTGCGGTAGAGAGTCGGATCATGGAATGGAGAGTCGGTCGATTGTTCATGTTTTGAGGCGGGTGTGACTGGCGTTGGTGCCGGTTTGCAATTGGCATAACCCGCGTCGTATAGAATTTTCATAGCATAGTGTTGTTGTGTGAGAAAATAGCCATTTGTGGATTGAATTACTTGTATGCCTAAGAAGAGTGAGATTTGTCCTAGCTGCTTGAGGGCGAATTGGGCTTGGAGCTGACCGAGAATGTGCTGGATCGCAGAGTTGTCATTCCCTGTTACAAGAAAATCATCAACGTAAATAAGAAAGTATATTTGTATATGAGCTTTATGAAAGATTAGAAGAGAGGGATCGGAACGACTGAACCTGAAGCCTTGAGTCTGGAGAAACATTGTTAGCTTATGAAACCATTGTCGAGGTGCTTGTTTGAGACCATAGAGTGATTTGTGAAGCTTGCAGACTAAGTCCAGATTCTCTGGGTCGACGAAGCGGGGCGGTTGGCGCATATAAATGTCGTCTTGAAGATCTCCATGAAGGAAAGCATTGGAGACGTCGAGTTGATGTATGGACCATTTACGATTGAGAGCGATGGTTAACAAGAGTCGTATCGTTGGCATCTTTGCCACAGGACTGAAGATTTCGGTATAATTGATGTCGAATTGCTGGTTGTAACCGAGAGCGACGAGCCGAGCTTTGTATCGATCAACCTGTCCATTGGGTAGTAGTTTCGTTTTGAAAGTCCACTTGCAGCCAAGAAGTGGTTTGTTGGGCGGTTGCGGAACCAGAGACCAGTTGTGCTGGTTTGTAAGCGCCGTGATTTCTTCCGTCATAGCCTTCTTCCAGTGTTCATGTTTTGATGCCTGATTGTATGTGGAAGGAGTCGTACTAGGTGCGGATTGAGTGAGAAGATTAAAGATTTGTTTGGGTTTGATGATTCCGGACTTAAGTCTAGTTTGCATTTGATGAGTGGGTTTGGAATAAGGAGGGGGAGCCCGATCATGAGAGGTGGGTATGGGGGATTGAGATTGAAAGTTGTGTTCACGGGAAACAGAGATGGGTGATCCGTGATGTTTGCGTTGGGGTAGCGAGGCAGAATGTGGCAAAGACGGTGATAAGTGAGTGGATACAGAAGTGACGGGGGGTAGAAGAAGTGGAGTGACCGTTGGAGTAGATTGAACGGATACTAGGTTGGTAGAGCTAAGGTCTTTATACGGGAAGTTTTGTTCATAAAAAACATGACGAGAGGTATAGGTCCGGTTGTTTTTGATATCGTAGCACTTATACCCTTTATGGAGCGAGGAGTATCCAAGAAAGACACATTCCACGGATCTTGGTGATAATTTGTTTGATGAGTAGGGTTTTAGCCATAGAAAGCAGAGGCATCCGAAGGTCCGGAGATGAGTATAAGTCGGCGGTGTTCTGTGCAAACATTGCGAGGGAATTTGAAGATTTATGGCTTTAGAGGGTAGATGATTTACCAGATAATGCGCGGTCGAGAGAGCTTTCTGCCCAAAATTTGTGCGGTGTGCTGGACGCATGAAGAAGAGCACGGGTGAGCTCCAGGAGATTGCGATGCTTGTGCTCCGCAAGACCATTCTGTTCTGGCGTATGAGGGCAAGAAAGCTGTTGTTGAATACCGTTGTCATGCAGGAACATTTTGAACATAGTGCTGGTGAACTCCCCACCGCCGTCAGATCGGAGAGTCTTAGGCGTTTGATTAAATTTATTTTTGATTAGAGAACAAAACGATTTAAATTTAGTGAGAGCTTCCTGTTTGGTGTGCATGAGGTAGAGCCAAGAGTAACATGTATGATCGTCGATAAAGATAATGTAGTAGCGATATCCTTCGAGCGAGGGTAACGGAGCCGGACCCCATACATCAGTGTGAACAAGTTCAAAAGGGTAAGAAGTTGTAGATTCATTTTTATTAAAAACCTATTTATGGCTCTTGGCCAGGTTACAAGAGATACAATAAAAGGAATGAGGTACAGTCGGTATTTCAGAAAAATGTTTAGCAAGAACTGAAATAACATTGGAACTCGGGTGTCCAAGACGAGCGTGCCAAAGTTGTGTTGACGGTGTAGTGGCAGCAAGAGCCGTGTGCGTGGGATTCGATGGCTGCCGGATTTGGTAGAGGCCGTTAAGCAGACGACCATGAAGAGACGGACGGTGGTCCTGAAGATCCTTAATAACAAATCCGTTAATGTCGAAAGAAATAGAAATAGAGTTATCTTTAGTCAATTTGGAGACCGAAAGAAGGTTATGCGTAAGAGCGGGCACATGAAGAAGATTACGAAGAAACAACTTACGAGAATTGTCGGGTAGGGGTAGGAGACCTTGCCCGGAGTTGTGAATTGGCATCGTCATGCCGTTAGCAGTGGAGACCGAATCTGGTCCAGTGTACGCCGTTGGGTAGAAGAGGTTATTCGCATCCGGAGTTAGATGAATAGACGCTCTGGAATCAAGAACCCAATCGTGATTTTGAGCGGTCGGCGGGTTGGCAAGAAGAGCACGCGGTTGGCGAGTGTCCGTGGGAGCGTATTTGAAGTTACATCTATGCCAACAGTTGAGGGCGACGTGGCCGAGTTTTCCGCATATTTGACAGGTCGAGCGGGTTGAGTTTTGGACGCTGGGAGTATTTTGTTGATTGATCGATGTGGTGACCTGGTTCGGCGGGTTCTTGTTCTTGAAGAATTCCCGGTTTTGTCTTCCGCAAGATTGGTTGTTTGAAGACGCGTACAGAGCGGTTGGAGAAGCTGTTTGATGAAGATCGAGCTGCTGTTCTTGCTGTAAGTGAAGTTCTTCATTACACAAGAGAGAGTAAAAGGTATCCAAATCAATCGGGAGAAGGGAATTTCGTATGGTTGATTTGAACGAATTGAACGTTGGTGGAAGGCCATTTAGGATGTGTAACATGACATCTTTCGGTTCAATTTTGGAGCCGGACGCGGAAATATTGTCAACGATTGATTTGATGCGAGTTAGATAATCTTGTAGCGACAGATCTTTCATCATGATCCTGTAGAGTTCGTTCTTGAGTTGCATAACTCGTGAACGACTGGTCGGCTGAAGGCGCCGTTCAAGAACGGTCCAAGCTTCGGTGGTGGTGCCAGAGTTGATGATGTAGGGTAGTATAGATTGCGAAATGGTTGAGAAAAGAGCTGAAAGAAGATTACTGTCAACGATGCGCCAGCGAGTGTAGGCGTCAGAGGCTTTATCGGCGGGTGCTTGCGTCACACCGGTGAGATGGCCGGAGTAACCGTTCACCGCGAAATGCTGAAGGATCTGCATGCGCCAGATTGTGTAATTCTCCACCGTGAGGGACTGGGGTGCTAAGTTCTTGATGTTGGACACAAGGAACTTGAGGGGTTGAGGTATAGTAATGGAGTCGGTGGGCATTTCAGATTGTATGGTGGTGGAGGAGGGAGGGATTGAATTGGCTGAATCTTGATCTCCCATGTTTAGCTCTGATACCATGAGAGAAAGCTTCAAGAAGAGGAAAGAAGAGAGGAGGAAACCGAAACAGGCTAACACAGAGAAAGAGAAAGCATTGTATTTCATCTCTAAAACGTATTACAGTGGTTGCTTATATAGACTAAGTAATGGCAGAAAAAAGTAAAATAATATAAGAGTCTGTTCATTATTGCTAATATCCTCCCGCAAATTAAGCATTCAAGGGTCGAATGCTTCAGTGCCTTTCTCAGTGGCAGAGCATGAAAAGAGACATAACAATGCTTGACAGTGGGAGCTTGCTGAAAGGGGAAGCCAATGAGAAACTAGCAATTCTGGAGAAATGATGATATATTCAGGCCCGGATCGAATTGGCACTAGCGAAAGATTTTGTAGTTTTGCTGGCATGATTCAAACTGTATTATGAGGAGAAAGAGGAATGGGGAAATGAAAACTGGATATGCTTCGGTGAAGTTTCACAATATACAAGTAAGGAAGAAGAGAATCCCGGACGGAGCAAATGGCTCAGTGTCCATCAAAGGTGGATTCTTTGTGCATTTTTTTACCGTTAGGGAGCAGATCACCTTATATTATCTGCATTGTTTAGAGGGTTCTTGGCTTTGTGTCTTTTGGCTTGTTTATTTCTTGTATTGAAACCCTCCGGGGCTTAATGCTCTTTCTCTGCTTCGTTTTTTTTCTGTTTGAAAGAAGAGAAAGTATCACTCCTCTGAACATCTGGTTTCCTGTATGTTGGGATTTTGTTTTCCCTGATTAGTGGGTGGGTATACTCTTGCTTTGTGGATATGGGTTTTCAAGAATATAAAATTTTTTTTTTTCTTTGTCTGTTGCCATTGTAAAACTATATTACAGGTTGAATGCTAAAGTTTTCTTGTGTGTGTAGCTGAATTGTTTTGGTTTATGGTTTTATGTGGAATTATTTTTTTTATTTGTGACTGTGAAACTTATTTTTTTGGAAGTTAAGGGCCACACGCGCTAATTCAGTCATGAAATTACAATTAACAAAAATAGAAATTTTATCAAAGTAATAACAAAACCTCCACACAATTTATTAAACTTTTCACAGATAAATAAAATTTAAAGCTTAAATTGAAGAAAAACAAGCGTTAAAGTGAAATAATCACAAGTGAAACAAAATTTGTAACTGAAAATGTATTTGTTACGGAAGTAGTAATAAATATTATTTCAAACCGAAATTCCGATGGAAATTTTTAATATACGGAATCTTTTCTGAAGTTAGGATTCATCTAAGGTTTTGTTTGTGACTGATTTTTTTACTTGGTTTTTAAAGTAGTTTCTCGCTAGAAGAAAATTTTGTACTAAGAAGCCTCGATTTGAAAGCATTAAGAAAAGCTTTTTCAAAATGAAGTCTTAGTAGTTTTATTTGGAACGATTTTCTATTATTCTTCCTTAAATCAACTTTTTAGTAAAAAATTTATATTTTTATACTAAAAAAGTTATTTTAAAAAACGAGAAAAACTTATCCCAACTAAGCTTAAGTTGACGCAGCTGCGCACCAGAGGCCTTGGTTACAAGGATTAAGATATATTTTAAAAAAAAAAACCTTGAGCAAAAAATATGAGTACTAGTATTTTATAAGATGAAAAGAGCTAGATTTTGTTTATCTTTATTTATTGATTGAAATAAAAAAATCAATAATATGGGAACATCACTTAAACAAGTAAACCCCATTTATAGAGAAAAAGAAAAAAAAAATATGAAAAATTAAAGTATTCTAACTCAATTATCTTCTTGTTTTGAATGAGGATAATAACGACTTTATAGAGATAAATCTTAAAACTATTCTTCAAGCAAGATATTTTAAGTATCAATAAGATTTAATAAGAAAGTGAAGTTATATAAGAGAACAATTCAAAAGAAAACAAACATAATTAAATTTAAAGAAAATTTATTTTTGAAAAGGACAAAAATCAATATTCTTCTTGAAATCTCAAACCCTTCCCCTTTCTCTATCTTCGCTCTCTATAATCAATTTTTGGAGATAAAACCTTCTTTGCATTATATATAAATATTTAAAAAATCTATATAGGTGCACCTTTATATTAATCCACTTTATGACATATAAAAATTGAAAAATAACTTTATTCTCTTAATTATTAAAACCTTCACTAAAATTAATTTTAATATTAATATTCTAATTTTAACAAAAATTTGACTTGAATTATTTATCTAATCAAATATATAATTTAACATTGATTGCTTAAACTATAATATTATAACGTTTACTAAAATAATTAAATCAAATTTAATTGAATATAATTAAATTTTTTATATACTCATAAACTTTATTTTAATTATAAATCACATAAATTATTTTATAAATTTTCCTTTATAAATAGTTATAAAATG